TGAGAAATAAATAAATCTGAATATAATGGGTTGACCTACGGCCTCTCAAACAGAGGGTCGTGGGTTGAAATCCGAACTTACAACTCTGTGTTTTTCGAAATTTATGTACGATATTTACCATGAGCTTTTCGCCGAAGTAAAACATCGTGATGAGATCAGCACGCACAAGCCAACCAATTTAATGATATGTGTGAATTTCTCATTCCACATTCCGCGTGAAAACTACAACCCAAGCCCTCTCATTATGAGAAGAGGCCTATGCCCAGCTGAGTATATAGTCATATATAGGCTATTAGATATTAGCTAAATAATCACACCAATTAATTACCTTTAATAGCTAGAGGCTGTGAGCAGAGATCGTTAATACGTAGGGCGCACTATAAGTTTCCGGAATGAATAAGAAAAAAATACTATAAATGGTCAGAAATAAATTTATGTTTCTCAAAATATTCTCCATTGGCGTTAATGCACTTTTCGTACGAATGAACCAATTTTGAAAACATTTATGCCACTCCTCCGTGACAATCTATGAAACATATTTTTCATATTCTTCGACGGCCTCTTCAGGTGATGAAAATCGTTGACCGCGTAACTGGTTCTTAATTTTTGGAAATAAATAAAAGTCACAAGGTGCCAGGTCGGGACTGTACGCAGGATGGCTCATAAGGTCAACGTTGTTCACCTTCAAAAATTCATTTGTCTGTCTGGCCGTGTGAGAACTGGCATTATCGTGGTGCAAGATGATACGGCGTTTACGGTTATTTTTACGACGTTTGTCAATAACTTCCGGCAAACAAATGGTTGTGTACCAATCACTATTTACGGTATAACGATTCTCCAAAGCAACAGTAGCCACGTGTCCAGCTTTATTTAAAAAAGATGTAATCTTCCACTTAGAGGCACTTACCACGCGTTTTTTTTTTTGGCGAAAAGCTCATCTCTAAAGACCCATAGGGGAGAGTGGGGTGAATACAGACGCGGAGTAATTTCAGACGCATTCATTTAGAAATAGAATAGAATTAGAAACCATTTATTGTAACGCCACATTATAAAAAAAAAACACAAAAACAAAGACTAATATAACTGAAACAGAAATAACACAAAGAACAGCGTAAAAACATTTCAACAACAAGTTGCATAATACTATACTGACATGTGTGCGGCTGTGGCGTGTACAAAAGGATCCCATTCAGCTAAAGTCACAACCAAGGCTAGGTTGTGATGCTGGTTCATTTCTAGAAGTCTAGCTTTCGATCATATCCACCATCGTTGGCGTGTGGAAAGTTGTCAAGGTAAAAGGCCGCGCACGCGTTTCATACCAAAGACTTTTTTCACGTGTTTCGTTGTAATTTTATTTTATTTTTAGTGCCGCGTATACGCTGGTACGTGAGAATTAATGAAATGTTACGTTTGTCATAAATATTTATAAGATACATCCACGAAACTGTAAAAATATGAAAATTGTACGTGCTAGCATAACATCAGAAATATTATGTAATTAAATAAATTACGATTGGGGCAATTACAGACTTGGGACTTGGGGCAAATCCAGACGTTAATCTAAAGGAGACCGATACGCTTTCATACAATCTTGGGCCAAGATGTAGGAAGATGAAAGTGGTATCAATTAATAGCTTATATATTGTCATACTCTATTTATTCTACATGCACCGGGTAATTACGGACAGAAAGCCTTTCGTTTTTCTTTAAAATTTTATATTTGTTGATTATTTGTACATAAACATATTTGTGTATTTTGTCCTTTATACAATAAAAAAAAAAAAAAAAATTAAAGATAAAAAATTATGGTAACTTTGTAAGGTGATAACCAAAGTTTAATTATAATAAAAAAATACTGATTAATGCTAATAATACGATTTTTATTTCGATATTCGCTTAAGTGTCCGCATTTCCCCCTCTCTCCCCTACGCTCGATTGTTGCTTTGTTTTGGGTTCGTAACTATAAATCCATGTTTCGTCATCTGTTACTATGTCCCACGCCAAATTGTGTGGGATCCACCGCGAGCACAGCTTTTTCACACCCAAATGTTTGTGTAGTATTGGTTGTATTTGACTCCGGTCTATGCCTATAGATGCCCGAATCTCATGGTATGTCATATGCCTGCCTGTTTTTGGTCATACGGCGCACTATATCGATGGTTTTGTTGTTCACAGGAGTGGACGGGCGACCATCACGAAATTCGTCACTGAGATTCACACGACCGCATTTGAATTCTGCAAACCAGCTATAAATAGACGTTTTGCATGGTGCTTCATCGCCAAAAGCAATTTGAAACCGAGCGAAGTTCCGCTGAGCTGTTAAATTACACTTAAAGTCGTAGAAAATCATACTACGAAAATTTTCACGACTTAATTCTATGGTGATGTAGACAACCAATTTCTAATCTTTCTAATCTATTTCTTTTGTTTCTGTATTCTACGGCCAAAGAGTTCCATTTTCAAATGTTGTAATTACTTTTTAAATATTGTTTATGTAAGTGGCCAGTCCCGGAAACTTATAGTGCGCCCTATGTATAATATATAGCACAAATTATACCGTTAAATTAAAAAAAATATATTAATAGCAATTATAATTTGAAAGAAATAAAGCTGTTTAAATTTTAACGTACTTTTCTTTCACTTTGGATCGCAGTACGGTTTGTTAATCGAAATATGTGACATCTAGCGGTATAATTTTGCAACGTTTCGATGCGTCGATTGCTTTCGTAGCATATCAAGGAAGCAAAGTAATGCTTATTAATTATCCTCAGCTATCTCAATTAACATGTAATAGATGGCGCTGTCTTCTATGTGAAAATAATTATTGCCTGGTCATTGGTTAAAACGTGTTATCCTTTCAAACGTTATATTAGGCGAAATAATTCATTGATGCTATATTTATCGCCAGATTACGCTATTGCTATATCTTATAATTAGTATAACAGCCATTGTAGGTATGAAATAATGTTTCAGATTAACAGGTTACGGTTTAGTATGATTTTAAATTAATGTTGGAACGTTCTGTATTTTGAAGTGAATAATAATAATAAATTCAAAATTAATATTTTAGGCCTTGGGAGAGGCGAGAGTCTAAAATAGATATAATAATAATACACACTCAACATAGCCCCGCACTAGCGAAACCCTGTGTCGCGAGTGCCATGGACACATACATAGACAAAACCAAGTTACACCCAAACTCACGAAAGAAATAAATGTAGGTCATATAAATGTCTCTCCTGGGCTTGAATCCAGCCCGGACCTCTGCGTGGTAGTTCAGCATGGTAACCGGCCACGGAGGCAGTAAAATTAAATAAATAAATTTAGAAAATTCACTACCTACGACGTAAGGTATGGTTCGTTCCGTGGCTTAGTTAGCATAACGTCTGATACTTGACATCTGACACTTGACGTCTGACGTTTGTGTTAATAATTATAACAAAGTATTGGTAGTAATTTCACAAAAATATAATAAAATTGAATATAGACGAATATCCTCTTAATTTAAATGGTATGTTACATTTATTAAAAATGAAAAAATAAATTGGTTTTATACGAACTAAATTTGAGGCGATGAATAAATGTTAAAGCTGTTTTGAAGATGGTCACAACGACATAATTGTTGTGATAAATTTTCGCAAAAGTAAATTAATTAAGTTTTGAATATTTTGTTAGCTACAGAAGGTGACTGGTCATATCAAAGGTATTTAACGTGAACAGTTTTTCATCGTAAATATAACAATAAAATCTTAGCCGGATGCCTATCGTTATGATAATTAAAAAGTTTACAATTTTGGGGGTGCCAAAAATTTACTAAAAATTTTCACGATAAAAAAAGCACGAACTTACCTCGAAATTTTACCGCTATTTTCGAATACTTTTATAAATATAAACTGGGATAATCTTCAAAACTTGGTTTATTGTACTTTTTTTACATATTTTCTTACTGACGTTACATCTCGAACTATAATGACGATCTATTCTTTCTAATCTCCTATTTCAAAACACATTCCAAATATAAAACTATATTCACTCAGCCAGTAATTCTACTCATAGAGTAGAGCCTAGACTACAGTACTTTACATATAACAATGATTTTTATTTAATATCAACTGAACTAAATACAATACGTATACTTCGAGTATACGATATTGATTTTTCAAAAGGTTCTAATATCGTTTGTAAAAAAATAAACTCTGAAATAAAGCCAACGTACAGGAAAAATTTAAATTCGAGGTGAGGTATGGACTCTTAACGTTTGTATTAACGATTTTTTTTTATAAAGTATTATCAAGTCATTCATTATTACAAAGTCATTCACATGACAATTTTCCTTTGTAACAGGTGACTAGAAAATCATTCGTTTCGCCCCGCGTTATATAGCGCTTATCTTAGAATAATAACGCATAGAAACCTAGTCCGCACACGCTAAGTGAGGCAAATTGAAGCGCGCCAAAAGGGCCTACACGAGCGGGCGGGCCTGCAGTGCTCAAGGTCAACTTGCACCGCGAACAGATCAAGAATTTTAGCTAAAAATGACTAAATGTGCGGTAAATGAGTGTAATATTCATAGCATAACATTTCACAAGGAAGTAACGCGTTTCAACTTGTATTTTTATATAAATATTCACTAAAACCGAAAATTAACGTACTACTAAAACTAGCCTACACGAATTTGATTTTCGCCTCACTTGTGACGGTTCGTTTGACATGAAACTATAATTCTATGCGTTATTATTCTAAGGCGCTTATTATAGACAGGAAACAAAATAGAGAAAAGAGAAGACAAGAATTTGAGCACAACGGCTTTTACACACTTTAACGTTAACGTTAACGTTATTTATATAATGGTTATTTAAACAATATAATATGAGGCTTTGGGACAAACTAACAACTATTCTGTTCATATGAAGAAGAAACAACAATAGTTTTAAAATGTCAATACTGTAACAAAAACAGATGAAGAAAAACACAATAGTGATAACAATGGTAATACTTACAGGCATATCGTTGATGAACAACGCGAGTTCAGCCGCTGGTCTGCTGGGGCCGCTTGTACAGTTGGCTTGGAGCAAATCTCCTGGTCTATAGTAGAGCTGGTTTGTCTGTATTGACGGTGATGACGGTGGAAGCACTGAATGCAAACAAAAAACCGAAACTCACTTTCGTGAATGTATTTATCTACATTGTTATATGTTTTACAATAATATAAATAAGGTTCAATAGTAAGACTACATTGAGATAAGAAGCTGAATTAAATCGTCAAACTTCAACTTCTCTATAACATGTTCCAAAATAGAGCAGTTTCGATATCGTAAGATTTAAACTTAAAACTTACCAACAACTTCCATAACACTAGACACAATGGACGTGGCAAACGAAGGGGCATCAGCTGTTACCTCGCAGCTGAAGTTTCCAGAGAGGCCGAAGCTGACCCTCGTAAGGACCACTTGGCTCTGGTTCGATCTGGCCAGCTGATGGACAATAATTAATTGTAAATACACAATACGTATACATAGAATCTTTATATAGATGTTAATTCGTAATTACTAAGAATTGGAACGTTACGTGACTATGTTTACATTATAGAGGGAACTCATCCTGGTTTTTTGACCTTGCAACGCATGTAGGGCGTAGTGTCAAGAACAGTGTTAAAACAAATATAACTACATTGCTTAATAACAACCTTGAGACATTAGCAGCAAAAACCTTGTGATTTCAGCAAAAAATCTCATTACAAATACTGACGTGAAACAATGCACTTTTACTTTACGTCTTAAGATAAGGCGAAGAAAAACTTTAAAAAAGCTAAGAATGAAGCAAAAAATAAGGAGTAAAAACTCTAGTAAAAGAGATACAAAACGGACCTTCAGGTTATTATCACGGTCGGAGCTGTGATAAAGGGGTCAGATTTATGAACAGCTGCCGCTCTCATGGAAATGGGCTTGTTCTTATGAAAATGGCCAAGTATGGGCGTGGATTTTCTTTGAGAATTCCTGGATGCGTTTTGAAATTAGTTTTACACTGACTGTATCAAGTCTTCTTCGAAGGCTTTATACCGCCGGTTCTTGCAGAAAGTAACTAAAATGACAGCAAATTCAATTTAGAAAAACTGAAAACTTTTGCATCAAATCATGGACGGTAACATATTAAAGTTCTCATTGGAATTATCCTTTTTTCAAAATTGGATTTCTTTCTTAACGTTGTTTATCTATTTAAAGAATCTACTGACAAGCAAAGTTTTCTATAACAATACAAAGATGCCAACATCGCCAACAATTTCGTAGGCCTAAGCATTCGGCCACAAAAGGCTTGATAAATCGACAAGAATTCAACGTTTTCCTTCACGACAACGGTATCCCAAAGACAGAAAAAAATGTACGCTAGCTACTCGGGCATAAAATATGTGAAAATTGTAAGGAATCTCGGGAGCTGCGATTTTGTAGATCTACTTACACGGATGCTTCATCTCGGATGTGATTTATTATTGTCTTTTTATAGCGACGTAGCTATAGATTCGTCTTGTCGTGTTGTAAGATTGGTGAAAAGTGGAGGTTGATATATGGCACACACGATAATAAAGTGACGAAATTCAAAAAAGTTATTTTTGGGAAAGTAACAAAATGGATTATGAAAAAAATTATGTACATATATACGTAATATACCATTTAACTCATGCTAAACATGACAAAATTGTACTTGGTAGGAAAAACTATTGTATTCGTTTTATATGTTAATTTATAGTATGGCTAATATGCCAAAAAAACCGCTACACCTGGTTTCAAAGTAAGGAATTGCTTGTATTAGAAGTATCTGAGCAAAGGGAATTCACTCCGGGACTAATCTAGAAAAGTTGGTTTCTCTAGTCCTGCCAGAAAACCCGGGACCTCCTGATCTAGCGCTGTATGGTGCTAACCATTGGGTACCGAAGTTGTCCAGATTATGGACAAACTAACGGATAAGTCTTTAATCATGACTAAGAAGGTTGGTCATCATTCAAATTTTAATGATGATAGTGGATGGTAAGTACCCCTCGACTGGAAAATAGTGCTAGGTATTCTGTTAGACGTTAGTGTGGATGAGACTTTAGATCTAAATGTTATTAATGTAGTTTACTTAGTTAACATAGTTTGTACTCCTACACAATTATGATTGGCTCGCTGCCGTCGCCTACGCCTGCACGACTACGACTTTGGCACGCAGTTTCCGTCCAGGGGATTTCACCCCTATGTTGTGGATATTCTCAGGATTCACACGAAGCGTTTCTCTTCCACATGTATATGACGAGCGGCTCGATAGTGGAATTGCCTGCCTGCGGACTTATTCCCCAAACGTTATAAATTGGACCTTTTTAAGGCGAGAGTGCATAGGCATTATTTAAATGTGCATGCTACATAGTCGACCTCGTTCTCACTTTCTATCAGGTGAGATGGAGGTTAAATGTGCACTTATTTTTGATAAAACAAAAGGTTCTTAGGTTTTCGCGATTGTTACACATAGGAAATGAAACTATTTTTCCGGATTTAAATCGCGTATATTTGTTTTTTCAAACAAACCTACGTTTCGGGTCCTTTACAGGTCCCATGGTCACGGTTGACTGACCTGACGTTTCGGGACCTGTAAAGGGCCCGAAACGTCGGTTTGTTTGAAAAAACAAATATACGCGATTTAAATCCGGAAAAATAGTTTCATTTCCTAAAACAAAAGGTGTCACCGCCGCAGAAGCTCATGACTGAAGGACCACGGACTGGTTCGAAATATATCCAGCAAATAAATCGACTTAAATACGTGTGTTATCAGTTAGTTTTCTATTTAAAACGATTGATTTCTTTCCAGGCAGTCTAAATCTCGTCTTTCCTGTATCACCTCTCCGTTTCATTTGGGCGTTCAACCAAGAGTTATCGATATCACTTGTACAGCCTTGGCTTTGGCAAAAAAATTGCCATACAAAATATTTAACAATGATTTGTTAGAGGTGCTGTGTTATCAGAATTTACATGAACAGAATGTTTCCAACATACAAACATAGGTCCAACATTGGAATCTCAATTATAGTTTAATCTAAACGCCAGCATGTCCGAAACAAAGGGACGGAAAGATAACAGTTATAGTATATTAGGGAATATTGTTCAGACCCGTTTGAGTGCTCGGCTTTGTGCAAACATGGAGATGGGTTAAGTAATAAGAGATTTGTCAGCTGCGATGTTACTTCTTAAAGAGAGCAGTGATTGGGCAATAACTTGCTTCCCAGAAGGGAATCCATACCGCAGTGTTTGTGCTGTTCATTTTAGAAATGACCACTACACTTAACAGTAAGGGAAATCAGGGAAATATTGAAGAAAAGATGCAAATGATATTTGAA